AGATTATTCTCTCATTTATTATCTTCTCATTTTGCACTAAAAGTCATTTTTTCATCCAAACATTTTACTTCCTTATGCTAAAAACAAAATCTATTTACATAAAAGGTCCAAATAAAACTTGAAAATGTCATAAAATATTATTCAGCTTATACTAAGTCAGAATCAGCGCGAAACTAGTCAGAATCACTTCCCGCTGCTGCCCTGTCATGCAAACTAGGCCTCCCTCTATTGGTTGGTCTCCAAAAGTGGTTCATTTTGTGGAAACAGGCTGGATGTACTCCCCCATTGCAGCCTGGGCAGTAAAAATGGCTTCTAGACTTTTTGCCTTCAGCAGCACACACAAGACATCTACGGAGTTTTACACCTGGAAGCCGAGTAAGTATATGGCCGATATCCCCTCCAGGGCCAGGCATGGGGTTCTCATTTTGCTGGACAGGAACTTCATCCCCCTCAACTAGAGACTCTATTATACTTACAATAAAGTCATGCCTATTCAGTGGCCTGTCGGTATTTTTGGAATAGAGAATCCATGCGTCAAATAGTGCCATGTCCATTATGTTGTCATAAATTTTCTTCCAGTATTTTTTTGTTTGCCTGGAACCTGATACATGGTAAATAGATTTATCTTTTGAGTCTACTCCCCCCATGTTTAGGTTGTACTTATGGATTAGGATTGGCTTACGTGCTTGTCTCCCACTCTTACTCGTTACAATGTCGTCTTTAGCGTAACAGCCAGTAGTAATCAAATATACAGGTTTCCGTTTTTCTTTCTGCTTGTAACCTACCAATAAAATTTCTTTTTTCCTGAAATAAATGCTTTGCAAGGGTTCTAATTTAGTTTCAATTACCTTTTTCGAAAGATCTTTTGACTTTTTATTTACTGTGCCAGTTAGGTATGTTTTGTGTTCTAATAACTTTTGTGTCACTGGGATCTTGGTATAGTAATTGTCCATGAACAAATGGTATCCCTTTCCCAACAAACTACACTTTCTCATCAAATGCATAACTACCTTTTGAGTAAAAGGGTCATTTCCATCTTGGCCTTCTAAAAAGCCCTTGCCAGGATAAAGTTCAGTATGTAAAACATACCCAGTCTTGCTGTCGCAAATTTCAAACTTTTTGATACCGAATCTGGCATGGCGCTTGTTGGGCATGTACTTGATATAAACACACCTATTCTTCATGCCTATCATTGATTCGTCAAGAGATATGTTCTGTTCAGGAATGAAATATTTTTTGAATGCTGCATTCATTGAATCCAAGAAAAACCTTACTTTATACCAAGGATCATGATTAGGTTGGTCTTTAGGAATAAAACGAAGAGAACTGACTTGGAACATCGACCGTATAGCTTCAAATCTATTTAGGGACATAACACTAGAGAAAAAAGGTGTTGCTTGAGATTTAGACTTGCTCCAATAGTCTGTTATATTTTTTTTCTTGATCAACCCCATATTGAGTACTAGTGCAACATACTTTTTTATTTCCCTTTCAGTCACATCGACCCACCTAGTTAGCCTACTCTTAGGCCCAAGCAATCCAGAGTTTCTCTTTGTGTTTATAATTTTGTTAGCATAGGCATTTGTATTCCTAACTATCAGCAGCCAAATAAGATTACTAAAAAAAAGATAAAAGTATTCAATAGGGTTACTATTACGGGGTGGGCAATTTCTAATTCCTGGGTGTCTCACTTCAAACTTCTCCTCTACATCAAACTCCCGTTCAGGTGGATATATTCTTACCCATCTAGGATTCAAGCTTACATTTATGGGCCCAATAAATTGTCCTGGGGGAACATCAGGATCATTAGGAGCAATTTCAGGAATATCAGCTTCAGTTTGTCTAGGCCTAGGCCTATAGTACAGGACAGATAGCGATTAACCTAGAACAAATTAGTTCAAGAGTAAATTCTTCTGGAATGTGTTTGGGACACACTCCTTAACATTTCCTGAGAATTCCCAAAAAATCCCACTTCAGCAAAATCCGCCATCTTGGAAAATGGCGGCGAAACAAATCAAACTTGCAAGGTTTTACGGAAAATGTTATAACTACAGATTTATTCTACTTAAAATAGTCGTATGAAGCTCAAACTACTCTAAAGAAAGTTTACTTCAAGAAAATAACACATTTATTGGTATTTCATAGTTGTAATATATAATAATTGTAGCTTAAATACGATTTTTGTTATTTCAAATGTGTCTCGTTCATTTTTTTCTGATTTTACGCCGTTAATACATAAATTATGTATATACCACCCAGTTATTAAAATGTAGAGATTTAAATTTCAAACAATATACATATGACTTTTGTGATATTAAGCCAACAATCACGCCAATAATACGATTTTGAATGCACCAGTGTGCGCAGCGCGTAGTGCCGTGGCGGCTCGGCACCGCGGCTGACCTACAACAATCATCCGCTAACCACTGCCGAATTCACAGTCAAATATGTGGAAAACGTTATATGATGTGTAATTTTATACAACAATGCATTTTATTATGAACAAAAAAATATTTGATCACATTCACTAAATACTTCTTATATGATCAATGCTAAGTTTATTGGTTTTTGATCTGCAGGAACCAATTAATTACCAATTATGGTTTTTAAAAAACTTGATGCTAGTGATGGCAATTATACCTTATTACTTGGAATTTTGCAGACATTTATCATTACTTTGTCTTTACTAACCAGTTATGGCAAATGTCCGCAAAAATACTACTATATTAATTAATTAAGGGATAATAAGATATTTAATATTTACCTGTAACTGTTGTTATGATATATTCTTGACAAAGAATTTTGATTTTATTTACATATTTACAATTGAACAGGTTAATTTTAATAGTATTAATTGCCCAAAAGTCCTGCAATAATATCGGTACTAATCCATTAGGCTCAGCATTAATGTTCTTTACATACAAATTTTGTTTAATTTTGGATGAATTAAAGCAAGATTCGAGTTTGGGTTATAAAATGCAGTACCCAAAATACTCAATGCTTTTAAATAAATCAGACAATATACTAAATTAATTAATTTGATCTTAAATTAATATTTTTTCGTAAGTAATACAAAATTGTCCCTAATTGACAACATGCCAGTTTGTTTGTTTCGATTTAACCTCAAAAATTGACATGTGAACATTGAACACATGATCACACTCACTTTCAGCCAAAAAGGATATTTCAACATACCTTAACCGATTCTAGATAAAAAAAATCCAACTGTAGGCCTACGTATTTTTAATCGAGTTTTCGACAACTGGACAATCTATAGTGTACAATGATTCAAAGTATCTTTTCATTTTTTATTTAATTTTCAAAACTTGTATTGCTTTTACAAATAATGTTAATCACTTGGCTTCATGTTCCTTATTAGTTATTTTTCAGTAACCTATAACAATAACGGTACCTATCCACTATGCTGCGAATATATCATTTTCTTTACTTTTAATTGGATGTCTTGATGCATAAGGGAACCAAGCGACACAGATGAGAAATTAAGAGTCAATGTTTATCGTAGGTCCTAAATTATTTAAAATTTAACAACAATTGTCCTTTGGTTTTTAATAAGTGTAAAAAATCAAGAATAAAAAAATTCATATATGAATAAAAATTTTTAATATGCATAAGTTTAATTTTAATAACAATTATTAGACACATTAAGCAATATTTACTAATGAAAATAAACGTATATTTTTTTAAAGCTATAAAGGATATTTAAGACAAGCATTAAAACATAGTTCGAAACCGGAATAATAAAGTAGAAAGAAAATTTAAAATACCAAACTTTATTGATTACATGAATGATATTTATTCTGTGTGTAGTTTAATCAAGGCAGTTGTCGTATTAATACATCTATTAAAAAAAATATATCATATAACCAATCCCACTGTCATCTTTCATTCATATTCCGGTTAGAATACACAGCCAGTGATGCGTCCCAGTCTTATCTGATAAAATTATCTATGTTGTATTCTTTTTAAACCATTATTGTATAATATTCACATTATTCACCATAAAGTAATTATTGTATCAAATATCAAAAGATTAAACATGACAAGGGTCTATTCTTGCATTTATTACAAATAACGTAAATTTATGTTAAATTCAGATTTAAATTTTTTAATAGATTTTTTTATTAATTCAAAATAAAAATAAAAGATTAAAGTAAAGAGCATTTATTCTCAGCCTAGTGTATTGGTATCGTTATTATTGCAGGATTTTAAGGCAGTTTTTAACGGCAAGGCACAATGAAAATCTTTAACAATGAAAAGATAAATTACCCTGTTCAATTAAAATATCTTATTATAGGTTATTTAATTATTATAGTAGGAATTTTGCAGACATTTGCCATAGCCAATTATTACAAACAAAGTAAAATAAATGTCTGCAAAATTCCAAGTAATAAGGTATAATTGCCATCACTAGCATCAAGTCTTTTAAAAACCATTAAAAAACTCGAATTTTGCTTTAATTCATCCAAAATCAAACAAAATTTGTATGTAAAGAACATTAATTCTGAGCCTAATGGATTAGTACCGTTATTATTGCGGGACTTTGGGGAAATTAAGACCATTAAAATTAACCTGTTCAATTGTAAATATGTAAATAAAATCAAAATTCTTTGTCAAGAATATATCATAACAATAGTTACAGGTAAATATTAAATATCTTATTATCCCTTTAATTAATTATTATAGCAGTATTTTTGCGGACATTTGCCATAACTGGTTAGTAAAGACAAAGTAATGATAAATGTCTGCAAAATTCCAAGTAATAAGGTATAATTGACATCACTAGCATCAAGTTTTTTAAAAACCATAATTGATAATTAATTGGTTCCTGCAGATCAAAAACCAATAAACTTAGCATTGATCATATAAGAAGTATTTAGTGAATGTGATCAAATATTATCGTTCATCATAAAATGCATTGTTGTATAAAATTACACATCATACAACGTTTTCCACATATTTGACTGCGAATTCGGCAGTGGTTAGCGGATGATTGTTGTAGGTCGGCCGCGGTGCCATGCCGCCACGGCCCTACGCGCTGCGCACACTGGTGCATTCAATCTCTTATTATTGGCGTGATTGTTGGCCTAATATCACAAAAGTCATATGTATATTGTTTGAAATTTAAAGCTCTTCATTTTACTAACTGGGTTGTATATACCTAATTTATGTATTAACGGAGTAAAATCAGAAAAAAATGAACTAGACACATTTGAAATAACAAAAATCGTATTTAAGCTACAATTATTATATATTAAAACTATGAAATACCAATAAATGTGTTATTTTCTTGAAGTAAACTTTCTTTAGAGTAGTTTGAGCTTCATACGATTATTTTAAGTAGAATAAATCTGTAGTTATAACATTTTCCGTAAAACCTTGCAAGTTTGATTTGTCTCGCCGCCATTTTCTAAGATGGCGGATTTTGCTGAAGTGGGATTTTTTGGGAATTCTCAGGAAATGTTAAGGAGTGTGTCCCAAACACATTCCAGAAGAGTTTACCTTTGAACTAATTTGTTCTAGGTTAGGGTCTTTTTTTGCATAACTGTCCTGTACTACTAGGCCTGTGAGGCTCACTCACCTGAGGTGCTGGAAGTTCTAGAGATAGGGTAGGCCTACAATTGGAAATTTCATTTCTTGCCTGTTCAACATCAGTAATTGAAGTATCACTATCAAAGTCTTCAGGTCCAGGATTCCAGATTTCCCCACTTCCAGATGAAAAATCAAGAAGAGATTCATCAGAGCTTTCATAATTTTCACATACACCATTCTGACCAATGTCACTATCAGGATCGTCGGCATCACTTTCAAGATCTTCTAAGTCATCAAAAGCGTTCAACGCATATCGAATAGCACTAGAATTGCTTAGTTCACTCATTTATAAATAATTTTTCTATTATAATGTTCTAATAAAACAAAAACACTATATAGGATTGTAAAACAGTCGTACACAACAACAAAACAGACAACAGTCAATGCCGGCAGACGACAGCTGACCAACGGCAACAATCCACAAAATCCAAAGACTTATAAAACAGATAATATTCGTTTTTGGATTGCCGACTGCCTTCTAAATATAAACTGACTGTTTCTCTTCAGTACTATATGAAAACTATTAAAATCGGGCGACGATTATTGATTTTCTGGCTGTAATAGTGACGCGCTGCAAAAGGTATCGCGATCGCGACTTTAGCGTTTTAAATAGGGTTAAAATAGTCGCGATCGCGACTCATAGCGGATAGAGGGTTAACCCTCCGAGTGTTAAGCGTCGCGTAATCGACGCACAACACACCCGCCGTGGTGTTATGCGTCGCTTTTGCGACACACAAACATCGTTTACGGCGAAGGCTCTGGGACTGACTGAATCAGATTGAACTGGATCGAGATTGGTATCGTTGTTTTCGGCAGATTCTAAGCTTTCTCCTGATGTCTGTTTCTAGACGCTTTTCATTTTAGTTCCGAAAATATTGTAGCAGACAGCTGACGTGCGTATTTGTAAACAACTTGGTTAACCTCGCACCGATGACTGATGTGTTTTATTACGTTTATCATTGTTTTAGTGTTAAAAATAAAAAGTAGTGATATACATGGTGCATTATAAGAAGATTTAAGTGATTTTGAAGGGCTGGTTGATGATTCTGAAGAAGTAGGTAGTGATATTGATGTACATTGTCGGCTAGATTCCTAGCTATGGTTAGGCCATGCATTTTTAGCTAACGCTAAATGTATGAAATCTGTTTTTCACCCATAACTTATTTATTTGCAAATTTACTTCATTATATTTTTGTAATCCTTAAAAAATTTAGAACAAAGTGGCTATTTTAAAATACTTGTAGACTTATAAATTATAAAAATTTATTGAGCGCAAACATAATTTTTTTCGTTTATTTTATAATTTTTGAGAAATGTTAACCCCACAAAAATTGTTGAAAATTTTTTTGTAATGTTTTATATTGAACCCATAATTTCCCAAACTAAATAATATATAAAACAGTATACTTTACATTATTTTTAAGATTCTAAGATACATTTTAATAAAACCCTGCAATTGTGTAATAAATGGGCGGACATTAATACCATTACTATGGACACTTGGAGGGTTAAAGAACAGTATTTCAGAATTCGTAACAGTGAAGTTTTTTTAATGTGATTTATCATATTAAAATAATGTCAGGATAGTAATTATGTTTTGTTAACTTGTTCATAAAGATTTCTAGACAGCTAAAGGTAACTCTTAGTGGTATTACACTGAAACTATTCTCTACATTACAGCCTTCAGAAACATATTTCATAAACTGCATTTTAGCACCTTGAAATACAAAAATTTCCGGGGGGCTCCAGACCCCCCTATCCTGAGAGACTATTCCTTACCCCCCCCCCCCCCCAAACAAAATCCTGGCTACAACACTGCAGTGGTGTATCATGATTTATTATGGGGAATACCACTAAGTTACAATGTTACAAACACTTTTTAATTTTAATTTTTAAAACAAAAGAGGTTGTACCATTTGCTAAGAGTTCAAAGAACTATAATGTACTAAATTTTAATCAAAACTAGTACAGCATTGGGGGTTGTAGCAACTTGTTAAGGGTCAAAGGAAATATCAAATTTTAATTAAAATCGTTCGGCCCATTTTTGAGAAAATTTTATATTTTGTTTGCTTTATTTTATTAATTTTTATGGGAAAATAACCATTGAAAATTAAAATTTAAAAACAAATCAAAAACACCTGGAAGCATTATGGATTAGTACCCACAAACAAAATATCATCCAAATCGCACACACGCGCGCACACCCACACACACACACACACATACACACATCACTTTGAAAACCACTTTATGGGTTCAGGAGGATGTAAATTGTATATAGGTAACTTCAACTCGAAAATGTTAAAAAACAATACTTTGTCCATATTAGGGGCACAAAGTAAAAGTTAAGACGTATCTCTTATTTAACTTGCCCAAGGAGTAGCCATTGATACTATCTGTGAGATTCTCAACAGTATGGTGCCAATTGTTAGTTGTGCAACATAACTTTTTGCCTTGATTATTTTAACATTGCAACATTCATTTACCTCCATTCATCATTGTCTTTCCTTCTACAGAAGGAACATATCTAAATGATTCAAAATCTTGGGCAAAAACCCTCTTCACATTTTAGTATATAGAAATATGAAAAAAACTATTGTTGTGACGATATGTTACGCTGATAGAAAGAATGAACTTGGGAATTTATTATCAATGTGCGACAATGGTAACAACTAAAACACTAAAAGCCAAATGTGCTCGATTAATTAAACAACTTACTGATAAAAAAAGCTCATCATCAAGTGGAGTTACTGGAATTGGGGAAGCAGTATTCTTCAATATTTTTTTTATAAAACAGTTGTCAGAAAAATGTTTTTCACAAATTTTTCGTAAAAGTAATTGATTTGGTGGTAGCTGGTAGAGAGACTCATCTTCACAATAACGGATCCACTGCTTGCAAAGGTCTTTGTCATGAGATGGGAAACAATAAAACTTAATAAATTCATCAACCATACTAGTACTAAAGCACCAATCAACAGAACAAAATTTTCCTTCAATAGCATTTATCTCCATCATCTGAAACAAAAAGATCAATTACATCTTTGAACTTAAGTTGTTTAAATTCATTCCCATTGTTTATAATGACTCATTAAAATTATATAAAATTGTTAAAATTCGGTTGTTATGAATCTACAACCAAGGGCAGATATCATATTAACTTATTAATCAAAATATGTATTAAGTGACATGTATTATGTGACCGTGGTACACATATATGTAGACATTCAATCTATATGAACGGGTACGCGTAATTGGCTAAATCCGGAACTTTGTAACCCCCTCTAAAATCCCGAAATCTACAAAGCCTGTTGTTGTTTCTTTTCGTCTATAAATGAAAGTTTCAGAAACTGAAGAAGGAGCTAGTAACTACAAAAATTCAGTGTGTTTATTTGTACATTTTCATCAATTTTTGTCATTAAAATAAGCTACAAAATCTTTAAAGTTATGGTTTAAGATCTGTGTTTCTCTGCAATTAAACAACAGTATATTAGACTGGGACGGTTGCGTTGTCCTGTAATCGAGCTACTAGGATTAATTATTACTGTATTGCACTGTGTATGTGATACTCCCTGGTGTGGATTAATGTCCGCACTAGTGAGTACTATAACTATGTGCAGTGCTATCCTGATAATTAAACCAATTTGATAATACCAAGGCAAAAATGTGGTTCCGATTCCACTATAAACTGTACAGTATGTCCCTTAGTTGCCATTAGCTGTATGGGCTATTAATTAACAGCTGTGTCTAAGGAATATGCCGGCCTTAGTCACCAACACGACTACAAGATCACGCTACTCATCCTACACTCATCTCCATTCATACTTGGCTTAAAATACCTACCTTTGTATGGTCACCATTTCAAAGAAAAAGTATTAGTTAATATGTTTAGAATATCAATGTCAAAGGAACAATTAATTATTTGCAATTGAGTTTCATCTACTTTAATACTTTCTTATTAAATGGCGACCATACAAAGTAGGTATTTTAAGTCCTTTGTCATTGTCATTATGCATAGGGCAAATTGTGCTTCAACAAATGTTGGTGCACAAAACAATATTCATATTTCTTTTGACAAAGCCTTTGAAATGAGGGGTCACTCAATAGGGGTTGCTATTTAAAAAAAATAAGTCACCAATACCCCCTACCCTGTAAGGGACGTTAAAAAATATTTTTGATGTAAAAACTGTGGATCCTTTGTTAAAAATCAATGCCACAAACAGAATATTTCTATCTATTTAGGTTAAAAAAATACACATTTGTTCCAATACTTAATTTACACACTGTATAATGTCAGTTCTTTTCAATATTTAGTAGTATTGAATATTTGGTAGTATACTTAATTTGGCCTTACAAGTAAATAAAGCCTATAACACACTCTAATAAAAAATGTTTGACTTACCCTTTTTATATGGCAGCTATTTTTTTCAATTACGACTTGTGTAGAAGGCTTAGGAATCTCAAGAAGAACATGCATTCCAGATGTTATATTAGTTCCCTTAATGTTCTCCAATGGTACATTACATTCTTCAGCATTTGACTCTCTTTTTTGTTTTTTCATGGCTGGTTCCTGTTAAATACAAAAACGGTTCATGTAAACAAAATTTATTTTGTAGCCTTCTATTAAAGCTACCAAAATTTAACTGTGTTGTCTTTGTGAAATCTCAAATGTACTCGACAGATATTATTTTTTAAATTTTAAGAAGAGGAATTAAGAAAACCTAAGGTTAATCCATCTCCTATAAACTTTTATTTAAAACTACTAGAGTAATTAAATGGGAAAAAATATATATGGCTGTCTCCATAACACAGACATAATACCAATTCGTAATCTCCACAATTGACCCAGTTAATAAATAATTGAGTTTGTTTCCTTTTTTCTAAGAAAATGTTCTATTATATTTCTCGGTTGGTTTTTCATAACATATGCAGTACCAGATATTTCATAATCATAACAGGGCTGATTGCTGCAACATATTACCATTGACTATTGGATACAGAAGTTGTTGTATTAATAATAGTCAAAGATATTACTTTGTTACAAATAAAAATAAACAATGCAAAATTGCGATTTCTATAGAAATTTCTGTTAATCTGATAACAAATTTTGCCCTAATTGGTCATTGTTCACTTGCTTTATTAGCAAGCTTTATTGATTTACACAAGCGTGGTTTTTAATCCTACTACTATCCTACTAATATTATAAATGAGAAAGTTTGGATGTATGGATGTATGTTTGTGACAAGTGAACGCCAAAAATACCGGTCGGATGGGATTGAAATTTGGTGTGATGATAGCTCACTTTCCCGATTAACATATAGACGCATTCTTATCTCAAAAGTCCTTTCGGGCTCCGCTCCATTGGCTCTGGAGTTTCCCATGTTAACCTTATAAAAGTAATCATATTTCAAAGGAATAAAAGCATTTTGTAAGCTGTTTCAAATACACAAGTTGGTTCTATGTTATTAAATATCATTAACCAATTATAAGGTTTACCAACAGGGTGCAGTGCTATTACTTTTTTTGTATTTATGACAACATCTAATTTCAACCAACTCGCAAAAAAAATGCTGTTAAAAATAGTAGAATTGCAATAATACATTAACTACTAACAAATATATATGTGGTTTGGTTCATTGACTTAAAATATTGCAGTTGAGTTAATTGTATGCAAGTTAAACTCATTCTAAACACATTCAAATATTTAACCAAACTTCTCTCTGTTGGTTGTTTAAACTTTTAAGTGTAAAAATGAAGCTTTTCAGTTTAGTTTTTCGTTAAACTAAGTGTTCTTAAATGTCTAAAAGAAAATCAAACCTTTCTCAAAGCTCAAAAAGAGCAAGATGGATGAAGTTAGCGAGAATTCGAGAGGAATCGCCTCAAGCAGAACAGCACAGACATGAGCAGGCTGAGCGACAGGTAGTCCTCAGACAGTTAGAGGCTCCAGAAGAGACTGAAAATAGGCGGCAGCAAAATGCTCAGTATCTAGCCACCCAGCGAGCAACAGAAACTCCAGAAGAGACTGAAAATAGGCGGCAGCAACATGCTCAGTATCTAGCCACCCAGCGAGCAACAGAAACCCCAGAAGAGATTGAAAATAGACGACAGCAACATGCTCAGTATATGGTCTTACAACGAGCAGCAGAAACCCTAGAAGAGATTGAAGCTAGACGGCAACAACATTCTCAGTATCTAGCCACACAGCGAGCTGTGGAGACAAATGAAGAAAGGGAGGCACGTAGACAAGCAATTGCTGAGAGTGCAGCACGCAGACGTCAGCTTTTAGCAAGAAATATCTGGGCTGGATTTGAATGTGCAGCTTTCAACTATGATGCAGAATTTGAATACCACCTCCATTCGCAGCTAAAAACTGATAGAATGAATAAAGAATGTGTTTTCTGTGGAGCATTGAGGTGGAAAGAAGAACCAGAGGGGATGTGTTGTTCAAAAGGTAAGATATCTATTCCAAGGTTGGTGGAACCAGTAGAACCATTAAGAGAACTTTTCATAAATGATACAGAAGAATCACGTCAATTCCTCAGCAACATTAGAAAGTACAACTCTTGCTTTCACATGACGTCCTTTGAAGCCGATAAAGTTGTATCAATGCCTGGTTTTTATCCAACATATACGATTCAAGGACAAGTATACCACCGAATCGGATCATTGCTTCCTGAATTAAACAGCAAGCCTCAGTTTTTGCAACTGTATTTTTTGGGGGACGATGAAACTGAGGAACATTGTCGGATTGTTCCAGGTGTTCAAAGAAGGACAATAGAAAAGATTCAACAGGTATTAAATGAAAACAACACTTTGGTCCAGGAGTTTAAAACCGCAATTGAGAACATGCCTGATGAAAGTTGTAAATTAGTAATACATCCTGATCGGGTTTTGCGTGGACAACATGAAAGGCGCTACAACGCACCTACTACCAACGAAATAGCGGCTGTTATAATTGCAGATGGTGAAAATACAACAAGTCGGGACATTGTCCTACGTAAACGAAACGACACGTTGATTCGAGTTTCTGATACTCATAGATTCTATGACGCTCTCCAGTATCCTGTAATTTTCTGGAATGGCCAGGAAGGTTATCATTTTGACATTCCACAAATTAACCCCGCTACTGGATGCCACACACCTAACAAAAGAGTATGGTGTATGTATTTTTATGCGTTTCACATTATGGTGCATCATAATGATTTTAATCTACTGCTGCGATGTAAGCAACTGCTTAACCAATTCTTGGTGGATATGTATGTGAAGGTGGAAAGCGAACGCTTAAGATTTATATCACTAAACCAGAAGAAACTTCGAGCAGAGAATTACATTCATCTTCAAGATGCTATAAGAGGTGAACCTAACGTGAATCCTAATAATTTGGGGAAAGTTGTGATCCTTCCATCTTCTTTTGTAAATAGTCCACGTTACCTCCATGAGTACACACAAGATGCTTTCACCTATGTACGTAAATATGGGCGACCTGATCTATTTATAACTTTAACATGCAATCCTGGTTGGGTTGAAATTACAGAGGAGCTTATGCCAGGCCAAAGACCAACTGATAGGCACGATCTTAAAGCCCCTGTATTTAAGATTAAAGTTCAAAAGTTAGTGTCTCTTCTTACAAAAGGAAGAATTTATGGCGAGGAACAATGTTTCATGTATAGTATCGAATGGCAAAAAACGTGGACTGCCTCACGTACACCTATTATTGTGGCTCAAAGAAAAATTACATGCGAACAATATTGACGACATAATAAGCGCTGAAATCCCAGATTCATCAACATATATGTGCCTGCACAACATAGTGCTTAAGAACATGGTAGGTCCCATAATCCAACGTCCCTATGTATGAGGAACAGAAAGTGCACTAAACAGTATCCCCCGAGCTCTAATAAAAGATATACAGACAAGTGACAATGGATATCCCGAGAACAGAAGGAGAGCACCTGAAGATGGAGGATACACTACCTCTATAAAAATTCGGGGTAGACAAGAAGAGATTATTATTGACAATGGCTGGATCGTCCCCTATTCACCTCTGTTAAAAATAAAATCTTCAAGGCTCATGTAAATGTAGAGTTTTGTAGTTCAGTGAAAGCCATTCAGTACATATGCAAGTATATTAATAAAAGGAGCGATCAGGCAGTTATCACCGTTGAGCCTGAAAACATTGTGCCAACGAAGCTGCATGGCGTCTTTTGGGACTGCCACTTCATGAGAGACATCCTACTGTCACGCACTTGGCAGTACACTTACCTAATGGTGAAATAGTCTACTATACGGATCAAAACTTTGAAGAGGGAATTACGACACCCCCAAAGACAACACTGACACATTTTTTCCATTTATGTGAAAATGACAATTTTGCAAAAACATTATTGTACGCCGAAACACCACAATACTACACTTGGAACCCAACTAGAAAAGAGTGGAAGCGTCGTGTTCAAGGGACGTCCATCGAGAACTGGCCGGGAGTGAAATCAAGAGATGCTCTGGGCCGAGTGTACACGGTGCATGTAAGTAATTTTGAATGCTTCTGCTTGCACATGCTTCTAAATAAGGTTAGAGGACCAACAAGCTTTATAATGACCTCAAGAAAGTGAATGGACAAGAGTATTCAACATTCAGAGAGGCGTGTGAGGTGTTAGGGTTGATGGAGCATGACAATCATTGGGATGACACAATGGAAGAAGCGGTTCTATGTCGCTCACCAGCAAAACTCAGAGAACTTTTTGCTATTATGATCAGTACTTGCGGCCTATCTAATCCCCTTCAGATGTGGAATAAATACAAAACAGCACTAACAGAAGATATAGCCCATATGTTTCAAGAGGTTGATGAGCTTATAGAAGGCCGCATTCATAACGAAGGACTTAAGATAATAGAAGACGAAGTTTCTTCAATAGCAGGGAGGAAACTATCCGATTTTTGATTACCTATGCCACAAAGAGATGAGCAACTTTGTAATGACGTTATAAGAGAACTTAACAACTACGATAGGGTGGATTTAGAAACTCAAGTTCGAGAATCAGTCTCCAAGCTATTGCCTGATCAAAGGGAAATATTTATAAAGATAGTACAAAAAGTAGAAACTGAAGACGGGGGTATCTATTTCATTGATGCACCATGAGGAACTGGAAAAACATTTCTATTGAACTTAATTTTGGCACAAGTTCGAAAAGATGGCAATATTGCTATTGCTATAGCTGTTGCTTCATCAGGTATAGCTGCAACTTTACTAACTGGGGGACGCACTGCACATTCTGTATTTAAACTGCCTCTTAACCTAACAAAGGAAGAAATGCCTACATGTAATATTAGTAAAGGTAGTGAACGGAGTGTAATTTTGGAGTGGTGCAAACTCGTTGTGTGGGACGAGTGCACAATGTCGCACAAACGTGCAGTGGAAGCAGTGGACAGAACTCTACAAGATATTCGGGGCAACTCGACTTTGATGGGTGGTGTAGTTGTTTTGTTGGCTGGTGATTTTAGGCAAACATTGCCTGTTATTGAGAGAGGAACCCCCGCAGATGAAATTGATTTGTGTTTAAAATCATCTTGTTTGTGGGCCAAGACAGAAAAATTGTACCTTAGAACCAACATGTGAGTTCAACTTTTCAATGATGAAGACGCTGGCACATTTGCCCAAAATCTATTGACAATTGGAGAAGATCAAATTAAAACCGATTCGGAAGGCAAAATTGCTCTAACAAGTTAATTCTGTCACCCTATGAGCTCTGAAGATGAACTAATTAGCAAAGTTTTCCCTGACCTCCAAAAAAATATCATGAACGATAAGTGGGTGTGTGAAAGAGCAATATTGGCTCCAAAAAATGAAACAGTTTCCAGGTTAAACAATAAAATCATCCAGAGATTAGACGGCAACACCTATGTCTACCGATCAATTGATACTGCCATCACAGATGATGATACTGTTAACTATCCACAAGAGTTTTTAAACTCTTTGGAATTAGCTGGTGTACCACAACACCAGCTGGTGGTAAAGGCGGGAGCTCCAGTGATCCTAATGAGAAATTTAGAAGCACCAAGACTGTGCAATGGAACCAGGTTGATCGTAACAGAATTAGGCAGAAACATCATAAAGCATCATCAAGTTCTCCATTGAAGATTTTCTGTTTAAATAAAAATGTATTAAAAAGAAAAAGGATTATTTTATTTTATTTTATGTTATTTATTTGTTTTAGTTTTCACTTTTATTTTACGCGGGCAAAGCCGCGGGTACAAGCTAGTCTTCAATATAATAAATTACATCTAATTTATTCAATTACAACAGAAAAATTTGTTAAATGGAATAAGTCATCCAACCCCAAAGGGTTAATAAGCATTTATACTAAAGGTTATGTTGTATACACATAAATGTTGTTTATTGATTTTTCCTACAGTATGGGCAACGAGAGTATGCAGTTGGCAGCAGCCAATACTAAGACTAGACTAGCACGACGCTGCAACATTGGCCGTTGACTACCACTCAGCCGTCATCGCAGGCTGTGGCGACCGTAATTAAAATTTACTAAACAATATTTTTAAATCAACTGGTATAAATTTCCACCGTGGAGACAAATTTGTCAAGCCTAAGTATATAATATTAATATATTACAGAAATTAACAGAGCAAAACGTGATAGTATTGTACTTAAAATATATTAATGTACCGGTAATCATTTATTTATCAATTATTAGATTTGGAAAAAATGCTCGGTCCTTGTTGGTTCTTTCAATGTTACGTGGTAAATAGGCTTCACCCTCAACTGCACTCTCTGGTGGTCCATATTTTAGTTTAGTTAACTGACTGGGAATCACTAATTTACTGTAAATGACCAATTTAAAAGAGATTTTATAAATAAAATTTTAAACTGGAAATGTGACTTACAAAGCTCAATACTTCTACTGTAGTTGGCTCTACCTCAGCGCTTTCTATATATATCTCCATTTCTTCTTGATTGTTGAACATATCAACAGCATTATTTACCACAGCTTTTGCATGATTTTGAGAAATGGTGCTAGTGGGTAGAGCTAATTCTTTTCCCCCATATACCAACGGCTCATTTGCTGGAAGCTCACATGCTAATGGCTCATTTGCTGGAAGCTCACATGCTAATGGCTCACTTGCTGACAGCTCACATGATAACAGTTCATTTGGTGGCAGAAGCTCACATATTAATGGCTCAGTTGCTGGCAGCTCACATACTAATGGCTCACTTGCTGGCAGCTCAGATACTAATGGCCCATTTGCTGGAAGCTCACATGCTAATGGCTCACTTGCTGACAGCTCACATGATAACAGTTCATTTGGTGGCAGAAGCTCACATATTAATGGCTCAGTTGCTGGCAGCTCAGATACTAATGGCTCATTTGCTGGAAGCTCACATGCTAATGGCTCACTTGCTGACAGCTCACATGATAACAGTTCATTTGGTGGCAGAAGCTCACATATTAATGGCTCAGTTGCTGGCAGCTCACATACTAATGGCTCACTTGCTGGCAGCTCAGATACTAATGGCCCATTTGCTGGCAGCTCACATATTAATGGCCCATTTGCTGGCAGCTCACATATTAATGGCCCATTTGCTGGCAGCTCACATATTAATGGCTCAGTTGCTGGCAGCTCACATACTAATGGCTCACTTGCTGGCAGCTCAGATACTAATGGCTCATTTGCTGCCTGCTCACATAATAATGGCTCACTTTCTGTTTGCTCACATACTAATGGCTCACTTGCTGCTTGCTCACATACTAATGGCTCACTTGCTGTCTGCTCACGTAATAATGGATCACTTGCTGGCAGCTCACCTACTAATGGCTCATTTGCTGTCTGCTCACATAATAAGGGCTCAGTTGCTGGCAGCTCACTTACTGTCTGCTCACATAATAAGGGCTTACTTGATGGAAGCTCACTTAATAACGGCTCACTCGCTGACGGCTCACCTCCACCTTCCTGCAAAGACATACACACCTGAAAACAAATATTCAGTACGGTAAAATAATAAGCCACGTCACTTTGAGCCCCAAAGACCAATATAGCTGTCATAAACAGTGGTAGAAGGGTGGATTATTTGAGCCCTTGAGATCCATAGTGGCAAAGGTCTTTTTTTTAAACTCAAGTATTTTGTACCAATGGATAACACTTTTTTAGTTCTATTTGTGGGCAAAGTGGTATAAGTCAATTGCAATCACCTTCAGAGGAGATTTCAGAGGGAATTTTTTTTTTCTCCCAAACAATCAGCTGGTATCTTCGGCAATTTCATTTAAAAGTATTAAAGTATTAAGTATTAAAGTATTAAGTATTAAGTAAAGTATTAAAGTACAGTGGTTCAAGTCAGACTTGTACCACTGCTGCAAACAACATTAGTTCAGTCAGTGACTAGTACCCAGGCCGAGTGTAGGAGTTTTGCCGACGGGTATCAGGTAGAAAGGGTCCCCATCCATGAATTCCACATACTGCGGAGTTTTGCCAACGGTTGTGGGTTGCGCGAGAGGGAGAGGGGGAGAGAGAGAGATTACATGTGACCGTGAGGGTGGCTTCCGCTAGGGGTGGACAAACCAGGCAGGATGCTGACTGTGTTCAAAGTAATGGAGTTATGCACCTCTGACTGTGAAAGGAAATGTATTGAATTTTTAACCTAACCTAACCTAACCTAACTTAACCTAACCTAACCTAACCCACTGCGACAAGCGCATAACTGCCAAGCGTAGACAACCTTGACAATCGCTCTCCCTCCTCCCTCCCTCCGTCACACTCTTTCTCCCACCACCACCGTTGGCAAATCTCCGCTTCAAGAGGTGGCCGAAGGCATCCCCCCATCTACCTGACACCCGTTGGCAAAACTCCGGTTCCCACCCAGGCCGCCTTTAACTCCAGGCCGCGGCCTTCGAAGTGGCAACGTCGCAAGTAGGGTTGTAACAGCTGTTTTGTTTGAAAGCAGCTAACGGTATTTAAGTGTATTTACGAAAGCTTGGTTATTTTCAATTTATATTGTTTTGGTTTTCAATTCCGTATGTTTTATTTTCAATATTTTATTGAATTTATGTTCATAAATTTAAAATTAAATTGATAAAGTGCAAATTAATGAGCTGATGTCACCTGTCTGTCATGTTATCTTATGGGACGTCTGACACTAAACAAACCTACTTGCGACGTTGCCAATTGTTAAAGGCGGCCGTGCTTGTACTACTCTGCCACTTCATAGACTGTGACACAAAGTATGGATAAACAAAGTTAAGGTTGTTGTTTTTCTGAAGTTTTCAGATCACGATTTTTTAAATCAGTGGCTGTGGTTTGTCAGAGAAATACCCTTAAAAATGCTATACAATGAATGCCTAAATTAAGAAATGGAATTTTGTGAAATCAACATCAGTAAAAAGAAAACGTGAAATAGGCCTACAGTACATTTAAAGACAATTTCACTCCAGCCTTTGTATACTAGTCAGGGCAGTACAGAGCAAAATAAAACAAGATTATGTTAGATTTGTTGCCCTACATGCCCCCGGTCAAACATGAGTTCTACAAGATTGTTGATACGCCAATTGCAACAAAGGAGCGTCCCGTTTCAGGCTCAGAAGATGACTAGGAGGATGAAGATTAATAAATTTATAAGGCCTACAGTTGATGTAGCTTAAATTATGCTTTAAGTCGATAAAAGTTAAATTTTGTATTCATTTGATAAAAAAATATTTTACTAATTTACCTAGCAGTTGCATGAAAATATTGTCAAGACAGAGTGGTATAAGTCATTTCAACCCCTACAGAACCACATCATACAACAAATTTCTACTAATCTATATTTATAAAAGAGGAAGTTTGTATATATATATATATATTTGAACGTTATGGACTCACAAACCGCTCGACAGATTGTAATGAAACTTTCAGGCATTATTAAGCATTATTCAAGGATGGTTTGTGTGAAGTTTGGTGCAAATCCGTCAAAAGGGCTCCGCCCCAGTGGCTCTAGAGTTTCCCATGTTAACCTTATGAATACTTATAGTTAAATGGAATTAAAGAATCTTAACAGCTGGTTCAACTAAACAATTTGATTCTGTAATGTTCAATCAAGGTGTATGAAAGAAGGTGTGTGCATAGTGACGTCAGTGCGAGCAAAACGTGTTTTATTTTACCAAATCATATGTTTTCTTGTAATTTTTTTTGTGTTTTTCATCATTACGAATTAGCATTGAATATATAACACCACAAATACTAGACAAATGTTTTTTTTTTCTAGTATTTGTGTATAACACTATTTTGTTATATATAATATTGTGTTGTATTCAACATTGAATATAATGTAGTAGTGTCATACAATGTGGCAGTAGTCTAAAACATTTCATAGTAAGTACCATCATAGATTAAACATACGAGTATGTTTAATCTATGGTACCATTTAATCGAAAAACAGTAAAGCAGTAAATACTTGATACGAGCCCTTGCTCAAATCCATCTGTGGGTTCGTCCTAACTCGCGTCGTGGGAACGAGGCTAGACGAGTGTGGCCACGGTCAAACTGTTCCATGTCGGTCGCATGTGAAAACGGAAAACCCAAACTCGCTGGTTACAGTTCGGACAAAGTTTCTGTGTGCGCGACCAGATCTGGTCGGGTTTTTGGCGAGGGTGTTGGCGGGGGTACTTTTGTGAAAACATTTGTGTCTAGCTACTCACTCACCCAACTACTAGTTGGGCCCAATACTAGTTGGGCTAGCGACCTGTCCGCGCGCACAGAAGTTTTGGCCGAACTGTACAAGTGTGGCCCTGGTCTAACAGGCAATACATTTTTTAGGTAACCATTTATAAATAGTTTTACTATAATACTGTACTTGTTTTGCTGCTCTTACATTTTATGTTTGATATCATTAAAACACTCTGATTTATATTATATATATATATCTGATCATATCTCAATCGTGGCAAGATTCATGATGACTTGCGTATCGCGGCAAAAGCCGTGATGATTTCTTGTGATTGCGGTGACGTCCTGTATTCGTGATAGTTTGCTGCGGCCGCGATTTCCCACAAAACGAGAGAGGCTATTCGGTAAGCGTCTAGTAAATTTTTTAAGTTATCAAGAAAAACCATAGTCCGAGGGGTTCCCATACGGGTTCAGTAGTTTAGTGCTTGGGTTTAGTGTATGTCATTAAAGTGTTATAAAATCTTTACAACTTAAGCTATATGTCATTTTGTGCTGTTTTGGTTAAATATATGTAAATACAATCTTGTCAATTTATTTGTAACTATTTATTTTCCACTAAGGCTACTTAGATGAGAGATTTTCAATTATATAAAACATAAATAGGAGCTGCAACAAAGGTATTATATTTAAAACTACTAGTGTACCTGTTGCTCGAATTTGAGCAATTGCGAAGCATTACAGGCGACTCACAAAGATTATGGAAATACTCACGATCTACACAACAGTTAGATATAATCAAAATCTTTTGTAAATATCTTATCTTTTCTCAAAAAGCTGATCTTGTTTTTTAGTGTTTCTAAAAATTTTTCCCTCTCATAGCCGCATTAGGTTGTCTATAATAACGATTACAAATGAAAAAAAAAAACATTATTATTATATGACTATTTCTATGTTTCCATTGTTTGCAAATCGGTTATTTCAATGATTGCTCAAGAAATGTAGCATATTGTTAATTCAGTATTATTTTTAGCCTATATCAAATTGTCCAGGATTTCTCGCTTTTTTCCATTGTAATAATTTCACCAACCCAAGTTTCGTCTACAGATGCAATACGCCAAAGAATATCACCTACGTACAATCTCCAAGAAGTGGTAAAAAAAGGCAGAAACCAAGCCATACAATAGATATAAGTTAACTCCATAAAAAATAATTAAAAGAGTTACTGTGATATTAGGATTTTCCACTGATTTGGTAATAGAACATTATAGGCTATTGCAAAACATGACACGATTCAGAATAAAATCGATTTTAAAATCAGAAAACCCCATTGCAAATACTGTACTTCATTTTGAAAAATTCAATAAATTAAAATTTTAATATTAACAGCTGTTTCATTAAAAAGTAGTGTAGAATTATGCCATAGATAAAACATACTCCCTTAGTAGATTTCTCATCCTTATGGAACAGCTGAAGACAATTTTATTGTTAATTCTGTACGGTTTTCTGTAGAGGTCGTGTTTTGTTTACAATTTGTTTCCCGTTATTACAGCCATTTAAAACCTCGTTTAACCAAATAATACGATCTAATCATAAACAATAACTTGTCCCCTAGTTATATAACCAAACAGTAAAGCACAAATCAAGAAATTAACCCTAAAATAATAGAAACAAAGTTTCGTCGACACTAGTGCCCAGTGTGGCGTACATGAACTAGACACGAAAAACGTGCTTCAAAATTTACAATGGGATGAGACATGATGGTTTGTTTGCATATGGTAAACAAATTTGAAGAGGCAACTTTAAAGGCTTCTGGGGCAGAGCCCCAAGGGAATTTACCTCGTTCCTCTTTTGATGGCTCATCTATAGACCAAGACCTTTCTTTAGAGACCCCTACCAAGTCTCTACGCCCAGCCGTTCTCTCAAATTAGCTGGGACAAAAACCCAGTTTTTCCTCCATAAGAATAACATGGGATGGGAATTCAAAGGCCACTGGGGCAGAGCCCCAAGGGAATTTACCACGTTTCTCTTTTGATGGCTCATCTACAGACCAAGACCTTTCTTTAGACACCCCTACCGAGTTTCTACGCCCAGCCGTTCTCTCAATTTAGCTATGACAAAGAAAAACTGTTTCAAATTAATATATAGATTTGCATGTGGTCACCTAAAAATATATTGCCTGTTAAGGCAGCCACAGTTACGATATTTACTGCTTTACGGTTTTTCAATTAAAAGGTACTTGCTATCAAAATGCTATAATACTAATACTACCACCACTGAATATACTGTATAACACTATGACTATATTCAATATTGAA